AGACCGGATACACACATGGCATGGCAGCGTACCATAGTGGTATCCAGACAAATTTCCAAACTTGCACAAATGCATTCTAATGGAGTATCAGATCATATGCGAAGATAGCTTTAGGAACCAACATTCATATTTCAGAAAGGAACGTCATGCATCCAAAATTGGATTAGAATGAAAAAAAAATTACGAGGTACTCCGTACTCATCTAATTCGAACCACAACCTTATTTCAATAACCCTGTGATCTTGATACTGTCAAACAAAACATGACCCTGATACTGTCGAACAAAACATGACCTTCATAAAGTAAATAGAGAGGTGTGCGGGCAACCTGGCAAATGCGGAGACGGCCATGGGAAAGGTTGTAGCTGTGGGTGTACGGCTTCCCGGGCTTCACCTCCACGCCTGCAAAAATCATATCATAGCAGATGTCTCGTGATTATTAACAAGAACAATGCGCAAACAGCCCCAGAAAAGGTATTGGTATGGGGAAGGCGTGGCTTACCCCAGAACGCCATGGGGAGGGATTGATAGATTCAGGAGGGAGGCGACCCGGCAACACGACGACGGAGAGCACGGCCGCCGTCTGCGGAGCGGCGCAGGGACGGGGCGCGGTCGGGGATGGTGGCGAGCGGCGGCGGTGCCTCCTCTGGGGGCTTAAAAAGGGGAGGAGGGAGGGACACGCTTTGGGTTACCGCCCGGCGGTCCAGTGATTCCGGGGCTATGGTTCGGGGCGTTTTCAGCTCCTGTGGGCCGGCCCACTTCACCCGCACACCAACGCTACACAAAATGATTCGGTAATAGATTGTCTCAAAAAAAAAAATGATTCGGAAATAGAAAAACTGCATTTTTTTAGTCCATAAAAATTTTGTATTTTCCAAAAAAGAATGTGCCCTCTATGTTAGGATTTTAGTACTCCGTCGGCACCTTGATCTCCAGCACGAGTTCCATGTTATATCTATCATCCTTCCTCTAGGCGGTGGTGTGGGCAGTGTGGTCTTGTAGAACCTCAAGCGAAAATCCTGGTTCGGAGGCGGCAGAAGGATGGCAATTTGGAGGAGATATTGAAGCACTTGGACCTTAGGGATGATGGACTCGATGATGTCATGGTGGGGAAGGAAGAGGTGAAGTGATACAAATCTAAAGCCTAATGGCGATAAAGCCCTTCCCCACCTGATTTGGGTTAGATTTGGGGTTCAATAGGGCTTGTTTTGGATGTCAATTTAGGTTTAGATTTGGGGAAGGTCATTTCTATTTTGTGGTACTGTGTTAAATTAATGATCTTCATTATTGTACAGTCTATGTATTAGAGTGGTCGTTCGTGCAAGGGTTTGTTGCACACATTATAGTTATGATCCTTGTACCAACTCTCCCCTTCTACATGACAACATACGGTGAAGATCATCACCATCGACATGCACGTTGCTATGATCCTACACATCACCGTTCACATGCACAATTTTATATATGATCCTACACAACTCAGCGCACATCACCATTGACACGCACGTCGGTCCATGTGTAATATGCTAGAAATGTGTTATTGCGTCGAGCCTATGTTCTTCATTGCAATGTTGTGCGGGCAAGTTGGTCATCGACAATGTTGGCCACTTGAACGATGCAATAGAAGACAATGACTCCAAAAGTTAGGGGTGGGAGGCTGACGAAGGTTGGCCACTTCGACGAGGTATCTCGAGCCCACATCTGCAAGGTGCTCTTGGCACCTGTGTTGGATTTACTTCTCATCCCTGATGCCTTTTCTTAGCACCTAGGCACCATCCTACGGTATATCGTTCTAGAGACAAACATCAAATGCAATTCTTAGCACCTAGGCACCATCCTACGGTATATCATTCTAGAGACAAACACCGAATGCAACTAGTGTCAACGGGAGGGTTACCATGGATCAAGGATGGCCATGCTTCGCCATTGCTCACCAGTTGCAGATCGGCTACTTCTTGACCTTCAAGGTCCTGAGCCAGGATGCTTTTAGGGCCATCGTCTTCGATTGTTCCTTCAAAGAGGTGATCATCACCTCGCAAAAAAGAAGAAGAGGTGATCATCAAGTATGGCGAGCACGAACGAGTCCTTCCCATGGTCTATGGGCAAAGGTTGTATAATCTTGGTTCATTAGTGTGAGAGGTGAACTAGTATGAATGTGGTTTTCACGTTGTTGTTGCCACTTTAGTAATGTGTATGCTTGCTTAGAAATGTGGTTTAATCTTTGTTTCGTATTGTTGCTTTTATGCATATGACTCTGTGTTGGTAACCTCGCCACTCGAAGAAGGGGTTACCACACCCCACGTCTTGCATATGTTGGTATCCTCACCACTCGAAAAAGGGGTTACCACACTACACGTCTTGCATGTAACCAAACAACAACATGTTGCATCTGGGGAACGCGGACTTGCAACCAACGTCGTGGGGAACACAGACTTGCAACCAACGTCGTGCTTGTGCTTCTGCTCTCCTGCAACTTAGGGGCTTTTTGGGAAACCAAATAACACGCATAGCATGGCCCGAAGGTTGTATCACCCCAACCAGGCTTCACTTGGCCATTCGTGCAAGGGGGTCAAAATCCATGAGGGGAACCAAACACGCTCTTAATTATCATGTCATAATGCCGATCCAACACCGAATCATGACGGCATCCTCGATGTCGCTCCTCTGTTAGGAGCATTGTGTTTGGAGACATGGCCTGGTTCCTTCTAGCTCTCCTCCGGTGTTCGCCGTGGTCCTATTTTGAGCTCCGGCGGTGCTATGTACACCCATCGACGGTGCCTCCAAGAAGGTGTCTTCCTCGGTTCTGATCAAGTTCTGCCATTCACCCGCCACCTCCTCTTAGGCATGAAGGGTGATTGGTGCATCGACGAGCGACGTCCAGAGGGAGTTGGTGGTCTTCGGAGGTGCCTGGCTTTGGTTGAGACGCGGTGTTGTTCTCTATTAGGACAGGCCCTGTTGCTTGTAGTTTTGTGTGGTAGAAGGGTGTGTTTGGTCTTACCCGGATATAGTGTTCATGCTATGCTCGTTGTTTGCAGCGAGTTTTAGTTCTCTTGTACTTGTATTTCTGCCTTCTATAAAGCTATGGTACGCCTAAGCGTTGTAACGCCCGGATAATTATGCAACAGTAATCACGCTAATGGTGCCATGTCATCGATTTTTACTGTTGTTAAGTTCACGTTGTTTCAAAGTCGGTTCCATTTTCATATTTAAAATGAGTAAAAGAAAAGGCAAAAAAACAGAAAAGAAGCCCCCGGCTCCCCATGGGCCTCGGCCCATCCCATCCCAACCGGCCCAGCCCCAGGCTATAACCCTCCAAGGGCAACGAAACCCTAGTCGATACCCCACTCCCCCACTCGCCCACGATCCCCTCCCTCGGTCTCTCCTCCCCCTGATCTGGATCGAGGCAGCACCCCCCCCCGCATCGCCCCGTCGCCACATCGCCGCCGCCCGAAGACCCCCCTGATGTCCATCGCCTCCCCTCCTCTGCCTCCCGATTGGATCGGGGGGATCGAGCCGCGCCCCGACGTCGCCGCCACCCGACGCCTCGACACCGTCGCCCATCACCGCCTCCTCCTCTGCCTCACCGTCCGACGTCGTGCTGCTGCGACCATCGTTGCCGTCCTCGCCTCGTCCTCGCCCCAAAGTCGCCGAAGCTTCTCCGAGCCTCGCCGGCGTACCCCTGCAATGGGGATGAGCAGCCCCCCTCTCTCTCGCTCCCTCGCCCGGTCCACGGTCGCCACGCCATCCCTGCCCAGCGCCCGCGCTCATGGCGAGCGCGCACGCGCCTCGAACCGTCCCACTCGCTCCGTCGCTGTGTTGCGGCTCCCCGCTCGACCCCGCGCCTCTGGCTCCCGCCGCTGCCTAGCGCGCGCCACGCCTGTTGCTGCGGGCGCTATCACCACCGCCGCTTCCGCCGTGCCCCGCCTCCGCCTGCGTTGGCCGGTTGCGTGGCCTCCCCACATGCGCCGCTCGCTGCTCCCCCTCCCCTGGTCGCGCATTTTGGTGCCCCGTGCTCGCGCCAGCACCATCGGGGCTCCGCCCCGATTAGCCCCGCTCCCGCAGCCCCGTTAACCCGCCCCGGCTAGCCCCCTTGTGCCACTGACCACAGGGGCCCACCCCCTGATTAGAACGATATTAATAATAAATAAATTTAATCAATTAATTAATTAGAAAATCAGTAAATTAACTTAATTAACTCTGTTTAAATTAGCCTAACTACCTAATTTAGTTAATTAAAACTATTAGTTTAGTTAGGTCTATGACAGAACGACCCCGCATGTCAGTTTGACCCAGTCAACACCCTGTTGACTACTGACATCATGATGACGTCATGCTGATGCAATAACCCCATTTTAGAATTATTAATAATTTCAGAATATTGTTCAAATCTTTGAAAAATCATTTAAATTAATCCGTAACTCGGATGAAAAAGTTTTCTACATGAAAATTGCTCAGAACGACGAGACGAATCCGAATATGCAGTCCGTACGTCTGCCACATGTCCCTAGCATATCAAACATGCAAACTTTCCCCTCCGGTTCATCTGTCTGACAGACATCCGTGTTGGGGAACGTAGTAATTTCAAAAAAATTCTTACACACACGCAAGATCATGGTGATGCATAGCAATGAGAGGGGAGAGTGTTGTCCACGTACCCTCGTAGACCGAAAGCGGAAGCGTTAGAACAACGCGGTTGATGTAGTCGTACGTCTTCACGGCCCGACCGATCAAGCACCGAAACTACGGCACCTCCGAGTTCTAGCACACGTTCAGCTCGATGACGATCCCCGTACTCCGATCCAGCAGAATGTCAGGGAAGAGTTCCGTCAGCATGACAGTGTGGTGACGATCTTGATGTTCTACCGTTGCAGAGCTTCGCCTAAGCACCGCTACAATATTATCGAGGAGAACTACGATGGAGGGGGGCACCGCACACGGCTAAGAGATCAAGAGATCAATTGTTGTGTCTATGGGGTGCCCCCCTCCCCCGTATATAAAGGAGTGGAGGAGGGGGCCGGCCAAGGGGGGTGGCACGCCCTAGGGGGGGAGTCCAACCCCCACTGGGAGTAGGACTCCCGCTTTTCCTATTAGGAGAGGGAGAGGGAAGGAAGAGGAGGGGGGAGAAGGAAAGGGGGGCCGGCCCCCTCCCAATTCGGATTGGGCTTGGGGGGGCGCCCCCTCCTTTGCTCCTTTCCCCTCCTTTCCACTAAGGCCCAATAAGGCCCATATACCTCCGGGGGGGTTCCGATAACCTCCCGGAGCTTCGGTATTGTCTCAATCTCACCCGGAACCTTTCCGGTGTCCAAATATAGTCGTCCAATATATCAATCTTTATGTCTCGACCATTTCGAGACTCCTCGTCATGTCCGTGATCACATCCGGGACTCCGAACAAACTTCGGTACATCAAAACTCATAAACTCATAATAAAATTGTCAACGAAACCTTAAGCGTGCGGACCCTACGGGTTCAAGAACTATGTAGACATGACCGAGACACGATTCCGGTCAATAACC